TTGCAAATACACTCGCGATAGTAGAAGTCATATTGCGAGATCGTTGTGCAACACGATTGGTAATTAAAATGTTCCTTCTTTTTTTTTAAGTAAAAAAAACAAAACTGTTACGCAAGAGACTTGTCGTCAACGCGTGAAGTTTAATAGCCGGCAATACTTTCACGAAGGCTCTTTGCTTGAATATTCTCGGGAAAAAAAAAAAAAAAAAGATAATTCAACCCACGCAAATTCTGCCTTTCACTTTAACGTTCCCCTTTAGCGTTATCGATACCGTCCTTTAATGGCACGTGTTCGATTCTCAATGGCGAAGACACGATCCCCGATTTACTCCGCGACGAACTTCCCCCCCCGTGCGACGGAACACGGAAACCAAAATTCAGCCGAAACTGCAACACACGAGAGATTGCTCGATTCCCGTGTCGAGCGGGACAAAGCGCTTGGCGATGTTCGCTCTAACGATTCTATTTCCTTCTATTCAACGTTCTTTCGAGCGCACGAGCTGCATACGAAGGTAATCTATCTGCGGAATAGCTTTCGATTCGATTTCAAATGGAGCGAATTAACGGCAGATCCCCCGACTACGTACTGTCGCGACGACGAGAGGAAGAGGAAGAGGAAGAGGATGAGGAAGAGAGAGACAGAGAGAGAGAGAGAAACACGAGGAGAGAAAAATTCTCGGATGTCCATCGATTTCCCCGAGGCGTGGAAAAACGCCTGGATATAACGAGAAGTATGTGGCGTCGTTTCTTACCGGCGTCTCCTATTCACGGAGGGATACGTCATCCTTCCTTCCGCCCCCATCTTTCGCCTCCCCCGAAAGATTTGATCGCGATTGCCCGACCGCACGCATCGTTCGTCACATAGCCAATCACATTATCGCGCTCAAACTCCTCGATGCAGTATATCGTAAGTGGGCAACGTTGAGTGGAGTACCGACGATAAGTGCGCGCCCAAAAAGCTCGATCGCCGAGAGAAAGTTCGTGCCTTCATCAGCTATTACGCTACATCTCTCTACCACGGGCGTAATTGAAGCACCCTTCCCCCTCCGTTTGGGATAGTTAAGGTCGTTTGTCGCAACTTGCATTTCGCAACTTCCCGACCGCGCTATTTTAGTCGACGATGTTGTTCGACGATGAAATTTCAATGACACAAAATTTGTCCCGGGAATTTTACCACAACGGTATTTTACGCGACCCCAATTGCGTTTATTCGCACGAAGAAAAATTTTCGACAATAAAGAAGAAAAAAAACTCCGCGCGCTTTCGCGAGTACAACTTCGAGCATCTTGTCGCAAATTTTTGTGCATCTCGCGCGTACAAATGTAAAATGTCATAAATAAATCTTCGCTCGGGTGGAGATTGTATATTTGTTCCCTCTCTTTTTTTTCTTTCTCTCTCTCTCTCTCTCTCTCTCTCTCACACTCTCCTCCATTTCCTTCTATCTTTCCACGACGATTCCTCTCGTCAAAGTTCCGGTGATTTCGCTTACTTCTGCATCGGAATTCTGCGGAGCAACTCCACCCGTACAAGTTTCACGTAGACGGAGTCGACCAGAAGGAGAAAAGAGAGAGATGAGTGGTACGCACGAGGGACGACACGATAGATACGGTCGCCCTTGCTCTACGCAGGGAAGGGCAAAGATTTATGATGCCGATGCGTCAGCTCGCACGTCTCAATTTCGGAACACTGCCGGGAGAGTCAACGAAAGTTCCGGCTCTTTCTCTCTCTCCCTTGTTGCTCGTCGTTGCGGAGGACGCGAGATAAGGGAAAGGTACGGCTATACGGATGAAATACCAAAAAAAAAAGAGGAAAAAAAAGAAGGAGAGTCGACGAGATAGCGGCGTGCGAGCAGAAACGAAGCGCGGAATTAATCCGGTCGGCGTTTTCCTCCCTCCCGGTGTACGCGCTTCCGTTTCCGTCCCGGCGGTACTTCGCCGGAAAATAGTTTCTACCTCGGACTCTCAGCGGCGTCCGACAATGGAGTAATTATTGCAATTAGCGGGCTCCACTCGCTCCGTAGATGCTTTTTCGTACGTTGTGAAAAGGCCAGCGTTGAGGAAAGAAAGTCGATATTTTGTGCGGAGTGCGCGCGCGCGCGCTTTGAAAATCTCGCGACTTCGCTAAAACAGAGTCAATTGCGTTGCTATTGTAAAAGCACCCTCTTAATAATGCTTGTAGCTACATCTCTTGCTCCATACAGACGCGCAACACGCACGCTGAATTGGTTCAAGTTGCAATTTTTATTGTTCGTAAATTCGCCGGTATAGTTTCGCGATGGTCGCGAATTTCGTTCCCGAAAACGCAGATTTTTCTCTCGTTTTCCGATTTTAAAAACGTTCTTTCTCTCTCTCTCTCTCTCTCTCTCTCTCTCGCGTATGTAGTGTTCGTCGAGAGCGAGAAATGTCCTCACCGCGCGAAAATTTCAAAAATATTCGTATCTGTATTTACTCGTCAAACACTACTGTCAAATATCCTCGTATAAAAACAAAATAAAAACAAAAAAAAGTAACATATGTAATAAGAGTGCGTAAAAAACTTATTTTTGCAAAATTTTATCAACGAATTTTTTAATTGATCCATGATGACATCAAATACTGCAAACAACAAAAAATGCTCACAAATTCAACGATTAAATATATACGAAGGCAAAGTACATATTTATGCAGATCTTCATCTTTCTGTCCCTCTCTGTTTCTCTCTCTCTTCCTCTTTTTCTCTGTCGCACATTTAACCGACGCGTATATACAGTGACGTGAGTACACAGCGTGATTATCGTAACAGCTATTGAGCCGTGAAGTGTGCGACTTGATGAAAGCTGCAATGAAGCAATCGCGCATCTGTCTTTTTAATGACAGGAAGAAGCCTCGCGCACAAAGCCACGACGATTTTACCGAGTCGGCACGCAAACGGTCTACCTCCGGTTGGTATTCATTAGCCGATTGACGACGAGATCACGAGATGCAACATCTCGGCGCAACATCGCGATCTTCGGACGGAATGCTAACGAGCGAGATGAGGAAGAGGAGCGCGCCCCTCTGATCGTCGTGTTCCTTTGAAAGTACACGAGAGTGACATTCGCCCGACGCCCGAACGGAATGACGTGAGAAACGCTTAATCCGCGAAACCGTCATACCGCGCCACCAGAAAACGAGATTCAACCTCGCGGCGCGATCTTTTTTCGCGCGGCAAATCTTTTTTTTTTCCTTTTTTTTTTTTATTGCATTTCGCGGTTGCGTGTCGAGAAGCAACTCGGGCACCGCAACTTCGTCTCTGACGTTGCGGGGGTTTTCGCCCTCTCGCTACTTTGTTTCGTCGTGAATAAAAGTCGAAAGAGAAGCGAAGCAGGCAAGCGTAAATCGAGGGAAGAGAAAGAGAGAGAAAGAGTTCGTGGAGAATCACTTGGCAGAATGGAGTTTCAAACGGAAAGATGCGACGGGAAAGTAGCGCGATGCGCTTTGCGCAAACGATCTCAGACGCGATGTCGAGTAGCCGGAATGGAATTACGCGAGACTACCGTTGTAATAAAAATGTAGATGCACGATGTACGACGTATTAGGATTTTCTGCAGCGCGCGCTACTCTCAGTAGCATTTGCACAGCAATCTGATAATTAAGCGCGCTTGAAATATCCTCTTTTTATTCGAAATTAACTGTATATTTTCTAACGTACATGTTTTTTACTATATATTTTTTTTAATGTTCGCATTTGTTTTATATATATCAAAATTTTAAAATGTATTAATAGTAATAAAACACAATTATTATGTATAAGACCTTTACGAGTAAATGCAAATGATTAAGCAAATATTTACTGTTGGTTCAAAATACGCTTCGGAGACTTTTCGATTCTATTCTATGGACCTTCATCAGGCCGTAATAAACTTAATGACAATACTCTCCATCACATATAACCGAACAAAAGCGTAAGGTTCACATAGTCGTGAGTAATGCCACTTTTTCAATGACCGTAAGAAAATTGGCAAACTTTTTGTTCCATTTTCGGAGCTTTTGTGAGAAGAAGGGAACCCACAGGTAACGACCACAAAAATCGCTCGCTTCCTTTACAGGAAGTTTTTCTTTGGACCCGTCTATAATGTGTTGAGAAGAAATATCACTAACGGCGCCTTTAAGTTCGCCGAAACGAGTAAACTCGGTGTCTTACCAAATGTCGTACCCGTTGAAATTTTGTAGTCGCGGTAAATTATCTTGTACAGAATGCGACGTTGTCCTCGGGTTAACACTTTACTGTTAATTTGCACGTCCAACTGTCATCGAACGTTTCTCCGAATGCGTTTTATGTGTATCTAAATGAAGATATGATAATTCGCGACGATATCCAGTTTGGACCGTGTGAATATTCATCATTGTCATTTTCACGAAGGAATTAGCTACTAGTAGCTTAGAAATTACGCATTTCCGATGTACATTTTATATATATATATATATATTTCAAAATATTCACTTTGCGTAACATATTTCATGCATTCGATTTAATGATTTATATAACGAGTGACAGAGACTTTATAAGCATCGTTAATCAGCTTTCGTTAGGAGAAGCAGTCTCGTAAATTAGAAAATATGCGCGACTATTTCGTAATGTGCATTTATGCAATTTCTCAACGATATTTCACTTGGAAAACAGCGATTACACATATATTTGCAATTCTTTTAGAAATAAATTAATAATATGTAGTTGAAAAAATTTATCTATTTTGCGTACTAATAAATCTGTTATCAGATTTATTATCGGACCTTTTTACGTTCTGCTGCCGTTATACGAGAATATATGTATACGCGATCGATGTATATATTATAGCAACATATATACATTCGCTATGAAAATTTAATCAATAATTTATCGAGAAATAACCAGTATAGCGTTTTGTTGTATGTGTGAACAAGTCGAGGCAATAACACGGAGCGCTCCCAGTAAAGTGTCAACAAGGACAAGGTCGCGCGCGCACGAGCATACAGACGTTTTCAAAACAAGGAGATAACTCACCTGGAGGACAATTGCATTCGGAGACATCACGCGAGTACCTCCTTAGGGAAGTTAAGTATACATCCTTGTCACCGAAGTCCTCGGACGACGACGACGATGACGACGACGGGGACGACCTTAACCTCGGGTCGCGTACACACTCTCTCTCCAGGGTGGTGATCCTTGCTTCCAATGCGAGACCGTGCATGAAGAGTATGCCGCACATGGCAAAGCTGATCAGGCAGAGGGTGCCCATCGCCCAATTCGGGAACACGAAATCCGCGCGGCGGGTCGCATCGCCGAACTTCTGCGGCATCGACACCAAGGAAGTCGACCGCTGGCCCGGCACCGACCAGGAGGTCGGCTCCTCGCCCGGTCGTACGTCGGTGCTCATCGCACTCGCGCGACTCTCTTCCAAACTCGTTGCGCGCTTCGAAAGCGTCCCTTAAGCGAGGCGGCGCGTCATAACCCGCGTTGATGTCCGTCGGTGGTGTTACACCGTGTGAATCCGTGCGGATTCGCGTGAACAAACGACGAGAAAACACGCGAAGCGACGATGATAACACGCGAGACCGCTGTTACAGACGTCGCGACGTCATCGTCCATCTGGACTGCATTTTCGCGCGAAACTCACTCCTTTTGCTCCCGTTGTCGCCCGTTGGCCTCCCCCCCTTGTTTTCGCGATTCGCGCGCGTAGAACACGAAAGTTTAACTTACGATCCTCGATCCTCCCCAAAAAACGACACTCCGCGCCGATTTATCGCGACTTACTCCGATTATGAGCGCGACGACCAGCGACGATCCAGTGCGCGTGGAAAGAAATTCGGAGCCGATGGATTCCACCCAAAACGAGATTTTATTCCGCGCGTTCTTCCGATACACGCGGTCAGCGGCAACGTTCAGTACGGTAGAGCGCCGCCACCTGTGCCGTCGCGTTCACGCGTTCTCGTTGACTCGTCGCGCACTTTCCACACATCGGCCGGTGACAGAGCAGCGGGGCGGCGACGACGACGTTCGTCGCCTCGTGCCGCAATTCCGCGAGCAGCACGCGTCTTTCTCTTTCTCCCCCGGTCGCTTTTTCCTTTCTTCCGTCGACGCGGAACAGAAGGGCACACGCCGTCCGCACCGAACTTCACGACGATCGCCGCTCGAGAGTGGCTTCGATGAAAGACAAAATTCACGATGGCAAAAAGAGAGAACAAGACCGCGGTGAGAGTGGCGCGTGGTGAGAAGCAAACGTTCTTACTTTTTATGTGTGGTTTCGTTCTGCGAATATTACGCCGTTACAAGGGAGAAATGCACGGGACAGCACGAACACGAGACACACAGTATGGCATTCGCGGCGCGACTGGATGTGGTGGGGCGAAGCGCTACGCCGAAAGGACAGAGGGTTACGTCGCCTCGGCAAAGCTCGGGGACGATCGTGCGTCTTCGTATCGCCACGACTAACTTCAGTCTACCAACAACCCGCCGCCGGACGCGCGTAGGACGCGATCGGTCGACCTAACGTCTACTTCCATTCGCACTGATTCGCCCCCTGTGCTTCATTCTCCAGCCAGAACCGCTCGCTCCACACTCACCACCACCACCGCCACCATCACCATCCACCGTCCACCACTATCACCTTCACCTCTGTCCACCACCCTATATGAGCGGGATGTTTGGCCGCGGCAGCGCGAGAGGTAGAATATAATCTCTTTTTGTTTCTTTCCCCCTTTTTACTCTTTCGATGTCCATTATCCACTCGGATTACACGCCGGAGGATTCCGCTCGCGTTTCCCGCGTCCGTTACGCACGCACGTAAACGGCTTTAACGTCGGGAAAAAGAAAAAGATTGTTGTTTTTTCGTTAACGGAGCGCGCGCCATGGCTGTGAATGCTGACATATACGTTAGCCTATATTTCATCGATGGATATTCACTCGGAGTGTCTGTTATTGTTCGCATATTATCACCCCTATTTGATACCATCGCGAAATGCTTGTTTTTCTACATTGAATCGCGCAAGACGGTACGCGGTCAAGTTGTTTTTTTTTTTTTTCACGAAAATCTAAAACTGAAAAATGTAAACCTTATTGCCAAGATTTGTTTCACCTGTATACTTGAGAATTCAACGATTGCGCATATAATAAAATCTGTTGCAAACACAAGATGTAAACAATACAAAGTAGCACAATGTTTTTTGCATTCACAAAACAATTTTTATCTTTTGTGACACACGCACAGCGCGCGCGTGAGTTTTTCCGTGCGTGAAAATTGATTTTGCTGTACAAAGTACGGAGATTTTCGCATGTTGAGCGCGTAGCTCTGTTAAAAAATATTTCTTTTAAAAAAGGATTTTTGTTTTAAATATTCTCTTCGCGGAATATTCATTATTGCGGTCTTTATTATCTTTTTAGCGAAACACTTGATATTTCAAGGAAAATTTCAATGTTGTGCGCGCGCAGACATTGAAATGTTAGTGTATCCGCAAGAAATATTTTCGCATCCCATTGTTTATCCGACACAATTGGGAATACCGAGTACTTTTTTGCGCGCAAAAAAAACGCACTTTTTTACGGATAATCTAAATTAAAAACTATTTCGTGTATTTAGACAATCTGCCGTGGCAAAAACATTTGATGTTTCTTTCTGCATGATTGAAATTTTCCTGCAAAAAATAAATATTGGAGAAGTCAAGAATAAATTGAGAAAACGAGAGACGCGATTGATATGATTATGTTAGATTGTCAAAAATGTCGTGTCATGTTCAAATCGATGTGCCGTCGCACGCGCGCGCGCGCTTGGAACAATCATTAAACGAGAGACCAACAAATGAGAGTCTTTTCTGCGTTCTGTGCCGTGCGGAATACAGAATTAGCTCCTAAATTGTGTGTCCGATTCAATGGAGTAGAATTATTGTCAATTTATCTTCCTCCACTGTCCGTATCATCTTGATATGGAACGGCGAACGATAAATTAGAAATGTAACCGCTTATAGTCACTCTATATGTATAGTCTCTCAGCTTCGATCGTGCAAATTCTAAATAAGGAACAGGGTCTCTCGATCGTCTCGGTCTGCGACTTTATCGAATCACACTTTGTTTTTTTACGCAAACGATCCTCCAAAAGGAAAGATAAACCAATCGATACAACAAGACAGTTTGCTACAAAAATACTTGGCACATCTGTTTGCCTCGCGTCGTTTGACGCGTGTTTTTTTTTTGTATTTTCTCGAAAATTTAATTGAAAAAAACATGTGTTTTACGTACAGTTTTATTGCACATTAATTTTCGATGTACGTCAAATATTTTCGAGGTAAAAAATGTTCGGATCTCTTGAAATAATGAATTTTATAAATTTCTTGCCTCTCTCGTGCCGTGTTTATGTTTAAATCTAACAATGGAGATAATTTTATCTCGCTCATTTTGCTCCGGTGAAAAAATTCTCGCGTTTTATATTGTTTGACGATGCATTTTTTTTTTAATTTTAGTTATAAACGTATTTAACTCCAAAAAATCGGTTGGTACAACGTCAGAACAGAGTATGATATCTTGTCACCTCGTCCGTTAGTAACTATTAATTAGAACCTGTTCCAGAGGTAGAGCGTGCTGCCTTGGGCCAAAAGCGTATGAATTTCTCCAACGTTCTCTCTCACTCTCTCTTCTTGTTCGGGTCCGTCACCCATGCGAGTTCCTCGCACATACCAGAGGGCTTAATTCGTTTAATTCGAATGCGAGGATTCTCTCACATTTTAGGGTTCTCTTCCTGAGAACCTCGGGCGATCATTTAATGCGAGTGCATAAATTTCCCGATACATAGCGAAAGCTGTTTATTCACGAGTCTTACACACAGTAAAGTCCTCGGCAAACCAAATATTTTATTCTCAGTTATACTTGAATTTATATTTTCTCTGACATAAATATGGAACGTGATCGTCGTGTATCTTCTTTCGTATTTAAAACAAATAATGTTGTTTCTCGACGCCACGCGAGAACGTTAGAGAAACAGTGTGTTATTTCACAATGTGAAATCTGAACTATCTTTACATATATATATATGTATATACATACAATAAAGAGAAGCGGTAGCGTAGCGAATATTTAACGAATGCCTTGGAATCCGGGCAGCCATCCAAGATTACCCGTCGAATATTTGTTCCGTCTGAGGTTGCGCCGGGCACAACCAACGGCAGCAATTATCAAACACCCTGTATTAGGGGAACATTGATCGACGGAATCGATCGTATCCCCTTAGTCTGTTGTGTACACGCGCGGCGGATACGTACAACGAGAGAGGCGACCCCTCGACCGCTGCCACCCAATCCGCTGGCTAGGCAGAGGAAGCGATTATAGACTACATCCTGGAGCGCTCGCCCTGTACACGCTCGCTAAATCGAATCGAATGCCGACCGGCCGGCCGGCGTGTGCGAGGAAATCGTTGCGAAAATAAGAGAGAGAGAGAGAGAGAGAGAGAGAGAGAGAGAGAGAGAGAGAGATAGCGAGAGAGACAGAGAAAGGAGAATGAGACGAATCGATACGATGCGATTGAGCCGATTCCGCTATTTGTAGGAATATCTACGGTAATCATAATCAATGTATGTCACTCAATGTCGCGCGACGAGTGGACATGGAGAGTACTTTGCGCGATCGTCCGCTTCCGCTTAATTAATTGAACGCGTGTTTAATGAGGGGAAAATAAAATTACATAATGACAGTCGTGCTGGAAAAACCATCTCGTGCACATAAAAATCGTTTTTCAAGATATAAGATAACAACGTTACACGATATCTTTTTGACAAAATTTCTTTAAAAGTAACAGAATAAATACCTAAAACAAAGTTTGAAAATATCAAGTGATTAAAACAAGAGAAAAACCTCAGAATCTTCGTTTTTTTTCTTTTTTTTTTGTTTAATTAGAGAAAGAAAAGAGCACACTCTCTAATGCGCGCGATTAATCCTGTTAATTGACGTGCAGCCGACGAAAATACGTTTCTGTCAGCGCGGGCATCCTTCACGACCGTATAATAACACGAGTCTCATCAGAGAAGGCGAGGAGAAAGCGCCGCTCGCGCGTCTGAAAGACGCTGTAGAGTTTTCAGACGTCGTTGCCGCACGCGTCGCATTCCAATCTTCCTATCGTCCCGAATTCACTCAAGAGGGAGAGGAGGAGAGGGATCTTTTCTAGCCCGTTTGACTCTCGTTCCTCATTTTCCCCAGACATCGGGGAACGATCGCTACACTCCGCGGGTAAAAGGACATTTCATCCGACACGCAGATATATATATTTCTCATGTCGCCGCTGCACTCGCTCGCGCTTAATGCCTCCAGCTCTCTTCTTTTATCTCGCGGACCAACCAACAGCGAGTCTTAAGTACGGACAAATTGCTCGAAGAGTTATCCTCTTACCGCTCGCAGCACTAATCTCTGGATTTCCGAAACGTCTCGTACACGAGCTCCTCTCGACGGGAAACAGCCAGCGAACATGGAATTCCTCGGCTCTCTCTCTCTCTCTCTTTCTCTCTCTCTCTCTCTCTTTTCCCTCCATTAATTTCCGTCTCTTACTTTCCTGCCGCTCGTGGCTTCTGTTTTCTTATCTCATGCTTTTTGCCGCGTTCATAATTTTGGGGGTTTTTTCTCCCTTTCTCTTCTCTCTCCCCTCTTCGTTCGCTCGTACTCTTTGTAAAGTCCGCGCCAGATTACCACACGTTGTAGATCGAGATTGCATCGCGTTTAAAAATTGAAACGGTATTTCTCTTTTTTTTGCGAGACAAAAAAGAACAAAAAATTTCTTTCTTATTTGTGTCGCACACACCGCACGTACAAAAGCGTATTACACTCCGCTAATATTAGAACGGCAAGATCGGTTTGTTTACATTCGCTAAGCAGGTGAAATGTATGTTATTTCACGTTGCATTTTGTATTATTTTTCTATTTCCTCGAGAGCGCTTTGGCGAACAAATACCATATTTTACATTTTTTCTCTTTAGCACATTTCAAGCGCAAATGCAATAAACCGCGTTCTAAGTCTCTACGATTCACAATGTAACCCTTTTAACGTGTAAACATGAAGTTATGCATTAAAGAGAAAAGAGAGGGGGTGAGAAACATCGGCACGGGTGAGGACGCAATAAAACCGTTGAGAGTCGCTGTCGCTTTTCGTGGGGTGACCAGCGTGCGCCGCGCGATTAAAAAATCATCGCGGCCGATGCCCTCTTCACGGCACGCTGGTCATCTACGTTGGGGTGCGGTACGTGTGTGTATATATACGAGCGCATTATGTCGCGCGCGTGTTTGCTCTCTCTCTCTCTCTCTCTCTCTCTCTCTCTCTCTCTCTCTCTCTCTTTTTTTCTCTCTCTCTCTCTCTTTCTCTTTCGTCAGTCGATGACAACCTGCGCTCGCACCAGCAGAACGTGCCTCTCGGACGTAGCACGCGGGGAAGAAGACAAGAGGAGTCGACGACGGAAGGGATGATACCGAGAGAGGAACGCGCG